TGTGTGTGTGTGTGTGTGTGTGTGTGTGTGTGTGTGTGTGTGTGATTGTATGTGGGGGGGCAGAGACTTGAGTATGCTGAAATATTGGGGAGAAGCAGCTATCAGAGATGGAGAGTTGAAGATATAGGAGAAGTAAGATAGCAGGTGGATACCATGAAGGCAGGAGGGGCTAAGAGGTCTCCAGTGCATAGGTGTCAAGTCAGGCACTGGTGAAAGATCTCACATGGAACCAGAAGATGAAATGCAGGACACTATTGCAGGTGACTTTGTAGAACTCGTGAAGAGATTGAGAGAAATCCTACTGGAAGAGTTCCAAGAAAGTAGGATGTAAGGCCATGTACTGAGACTAAAGTGGGTCTCAGTAGAAGAGTACAGAGTATTGAAACAAATACTGAATAGACTTGATAAAAGTAGATAGAATTCTAGGTGCAATCAGTCTTTGAAGGGTTTTCTTCATTCTCAGATCCTTTAAATGACAAAATATGAGTGACCATGAATTGCTTCTTTTCATATTCCTCAAAGTATATTGCAAACTCTAGTGTCTATTGACTAGTGTCTTCTGTTACTCCTTAGAGCCCCGAAGATACTTGGGCCAAGTCAGTTTTCCTATTGTGACTGCCTGACCGAATAAGCACTCACAGATTTGGGAAAACTTCTGGTCATAATTTTCAATATGTCCATTATTTGTCTGAAGAAATATATTACTTATCCTATAGTTTTTATTAATATATAGTAAATCATGCTAGGCCCTACTAAAAGATTTGTTTGAAACTGCTTTCTATTTCTTTACAACTCTTTGATATTACTTGCTAAATACTCATTGTATTAGTTCTGAGTTTGGTGCACAGAGAGGAAGCAATTTAATTCTAGAAAAAGACAGCTTTCACACACACACACACACACACACACACACACACACACACACACACACATATATATATATATATATATATAATGAATAAGTCACATCTACCTGCATAAGTTGCTCAAGAGTCAAGATAAAATATAATAATATTTTTATCCATAAAAAGGATAGTAAATAACATCAAATTTAACCAACAGTGGTAAATGAGACCCAGAAAGATTATAACCCCTGCCTAACTTTTCTTAGCTAGTAAGGAGCAGGGCTCAAACTGGAACCCAAGTTTCAACCAATCCAGTGCCTTTTATATTACACTGTTATTACACTAGATTGTGAATTTCATAAGTAGAGAGGCAATGTTTGTTTTGCCACTGTATACTCATTGCTTAGTATATAACTGATGTTCAAAAATATTTATGAATAAAAGAATGAAAAGAATAAGTAAAATAACCATACTACAAAATCTTCATTTTAGATACATTTTACAAAGGGAAATTAGTTCAAATACATTAACTGATTGCTCTTTGTATAAGACATTTGCTCTACTATGTTCTGTGACATTTATATTAAAAAAAAAAGATAAATAAAATGTGGCCCCTGCCCTACAGGCTCTTATAGTTAACACAATTATATGCAAAACAGTGTAGGACATGATAAGTGCCACAACACGGAAGTCACATAACAAAGTATTGCACGGAACATGGAAGGCTTCAAAAGAGTGGTGGCACTCTTTATGCTGGGTCTTAAGAAACGTCAGGGTTCTTAAGCAGGGGTGGGATTGAAAGACCTTTCAACTGAACTGAACAGAATGTACAGTCAGAAAAGATGGCACATGCAGTTCACTTGACTGGAACATGGAAGATACGAAGGAAAGTAATAAAATAGTTAAGGTAGAAAGAAGCTGGTAGGGAAGGGCAATGGTGGTACTGCAGGGAGCTTGACAGTCATCCTAAGGAGTTTAGAATTCAGTTGGAAGGCCTTTAATTCTTTTTTAGTAGGAAGATGATATGAAGTGCTTGACAGTGCATAAAAATTTATTATAGAAAAATGATTACAAGTTCTACATGGGTGTAATAACAAAATTGAAATTATCCATGTCAGCTGATGATAGCCTAGTCGCATACGAAGCCAACATGTCCATACTAGGCCACTGTAACAGGCCCTTCACACTCAACGACAGCTTCGTTCACTGGTTGTATGGCACTCAGTGGCATTTTCTTTACCATGTTCATCATGGTAAACACAAAAATATATACATTTCCCCCTCCTATCCCCCGAGGGATTGGTTCTGGGCACCTAAAAAATATCAAAATCTGCGTAGGGCCAAGTCCTTTGTATAAAATAGCATTGTGTTTTGCATAGAATGCACACACACTTTCTGTCATACACTTTAACTCAGCTCTGGGTTTTTTTTATAATACCTAATACAATGTATATGCAATGAAAATAGTTGTTATGCTGTATTAAAAAATGACAAGAAAAAAGGTCTGCACTTGTTTAGCAATTATTTTTCAAATATTTTCGGAGAGTTGTTGAATCCATAGACGTGGAACTGATAGATGCAGAAAACCCCAACTGCATTACTTTTTTAAAGGCTTATGAGTTTTACTATAGTAAAATTGATAATACATAATGAAAAGCATATAGAAGCCTAAATTTGAAATTCTGATGACTCAAGATCTCTTAACACCTCCCTCCTTTCTCAAAATATTCCTGTACATACTCCAAATAACTCTACTCTACTGTGAACTCCTAATGTTAATAGATTATCTTATCTCCAAATATTATAAAAGCATGATAGTAATTAAGTTTCAAAATGGCTTAAACATTACAGACTTGTAAATAAAGGATAATGAAATAATGAAAAACAGTGAGAGCTTTTGACAGGGCTAGGATATAAACAAAATACTTGTATTGCATTGGGAATAAGATGTTCATTCGGAGAAGGCCATTGGGAGGTATTGAGGGGAACTCTTCATGCAAGATGAATAGTTTCATCTTTATTTCAAAATTAAGATGAATTCTGAAATAATGATGATATGTGCAGGCAGTGGAAAGGTTCAGAAGAAAATGAACTAGGTTCAAGAGATTTAAATGGTGATACGTGAGGCATTTTTTTATGTCAGTTCTGCTACAATTAGTATTGACACCAATTTTAAAATAACAAAGCCTGGGAGAAATGGAAAATATGATTGAACCTATTCAAATTATAATATCTGGTGTGAATAATTTTATTTTCCTACCTCAAGTTTTTATATGGACATTATAGATGTTTATCATTATACTGTTTTAGTATATAGTGATTGACAGTTTTATTCAGATTACTGGATTTGTAGGACAGATTGATATGTGTTCAAGAAACATTTAAGCATATTCATGGGATTTATTTATCATTGTCTTATGGGATGTATGTAATTGTTAGAGTTCTTGAGAGAGAGAATACACTTGATGTTTGTGGAATTTTCATATTAGTATATGAGCTAAAATATTTAGGGAATAGGAGAGATGGTAAATGAGCAAGTTAACAATTTCAGGTTATGTGCAGCTCATAATTGTAGTGCTGTGAAGAGCTCCTACTGAGTCAGTGGGAAGTGTGGGTGGAGGTTAGTGCCAGGTTAATTGTTATATTCAACATCGTTCAGGAGAAAATAAATGGAGATAAAATTGCAGCATTTATGTTTCTGCTTTCCATTTTCTTTCATCTCTGTACTTGTTTTCTCTTCTTTCCTTATTATTATTTATATCCCATATTTGAGTTTTGTTCTTCCCATTTCCTTGGTTTATTGAGAAATTTATTCCATAAAGTTAACTTTCACGATAGTTTGAAAATAAAGAAAACGCCATTCATCTATTCATTTTCCATACAGAGTTGGAAACGTTGTTCCATGGAATGTATTACCAAGTAATCTGATTGAAAATAGATTTTTGTGAGGAAAGAGATATGTTAGTAGACGTCTCTATGGCATGCTTGGAACTGGAGTATACCAGCCATGCTAAGCCTGCAGGTAATTTTAATTATCATCTGACAGGTCATTTTTCTTTTGTAGTGGTTTGCTAGCCCTTTGGGATCTACTCCCCTGAATGACTATAGATGTTTCTTCTGTGTAATGAAAGAACTTCTGACTTCAGATACGCAGCTTTAGAAATTTGGCTTTCATATTTCCTGTGAATGCTCATTTTTACAATATGATTTAGGGATGAATTATAGTATAATCATGTGTCAGGAATA